GTAGCGCTGTAGCGAGAGGGGCCTGGGTTTAACATCAGGTGATCCGATCAGAACGGGAACGGGAAGCCTGTGTGCAAGTCATGCGTTTCCTTCGGTCGCCTTCTCCATCATCCGTTGAARCAGTTTGAGAAAAAGTCTACTCCTTGTCTTGCGGTGATTTATCCTAGGTTTGCAGATCTAAAGAAAATATCCTCTAATCGTGCATGASAGCARTCATGGAGACCACATAGTGCTTATAGGACTATAATTAGGAGGTAGGTTCTGCATGTGTTTTTAGGGGTTCCAAATCTTTCATAATATTCCCTCAAGTGGGAGTGTTTCTGTAGGGACTTTATTATAAGATTGAAAGAAAGATTTTAACTCTATTCAGTTTCGAAAGATAATGTAAAGGCTAATTTATTCAGAAAATCGACCAAGTATGCTTAAAACGTAAGAAGATAATTTATTTTTGCCAAAACTAGTTCTCAAGCGTCCTTCACCGCCTTTTACCTAATGCAATTATAAACCTATTTCAGTTTATGACGAAGAGAATAAGATAATTATTCATTGTGAAAGAAAGRTGCTTATATTAAAGTGTAGCGAGAAACCTTTCCTAACTGTCCCTYTTTGATTTCAAAGGTTAAATCTTCTGAATCTAGTGTTTCGTGACTTTGTGTAGGATAACTGTTCTTGAATATATTAAGCTTATATCYACACAAAAGTTAATAGACTAAAGCCGTTGTAATCATAGCCTCATAGAATCAAATAAATCAATAGACAGGAAAAACATTATTGCTATTTGTTTTGAGACTAGATCAACATATATATATAAGCTTATATATTGAATGACAACTAACTCAGTTTACATAATTACGTAACATAGACTACATGTAAGATTAATTGTTTTTACCTATACAATACTTGTGCAGGTGTACGTGCAGGTTGCTGACTGCTGTCGATGAGCATTAGTATAAATACACAGGTCATTGTTGAAAGAACAACAATATTGTGATAATACAATTGGATGTCAATTGGATCAGTGCTGAATGATTTATGGCTTTAGAAAATTTAGAATTCGTTCCTGGTAAAAATATTGTCGAGATGTCTATTGATTTCTTTAGAACTTTTGGTTTTATTTTGCCTTCCTTTATTTGCTTGAAGATTACTAGTTATTTGAGGTGGACAAATACTTCATTTTAGAGTTTGAAAGCTAACTGAGCATTGTATCTAAATGAGACAGCAGTTTAAGCTTGTAACGATAGATACCTGTAAATAATTGTCTCAACCATGGAAAAGGTACATTATTGTAAGCTCAACCCCTGTTTCAGTTTGATGCTAAGGCTCAGACTCACTTTCATACTAACTTTACTGCAAACTTAAGTCTGTGTTGTGTTTGATGATTTAGGCAGGCTTTAATTTATTCACTAAATTTCTTTTATTTTTGCATTAAGGATTCATAACATTTGCTGCTGAATTTGAATAATATAAAGATCATGTGGAACAATTTCCAAGAATTCTCTACCTGGTTTTGGGCTGAAAGTATTTGGCTTCCTGAGATAACGACATGGAAGCATGTCCAGTCCAAAAAGCTASCTTCAACTGAGAGTCTAGGGGGTCTATATTTCTGTATACCCATGACAGTGTTTTTAATGGTGCTTCGATATACATTTGAAAGGTATGTTTTGTACTTTTTGACACATGCAAATCAGCTAGTATGAATAACAAAGCTTTGTAAAATAACTATTATATAACGTGCATTATGTAAATGTATAGAAAACTTCACACTTGATTCAAAACCTGATTAGGGCTTAATTCAATGATTTCCAGGTATATTGCTAGTCCTTTTGTTCAGTGGCTTGGAGTCAAAGTAAAAGCCCCTGCTAAAGTAACACCAAATGCAACTTGTGAAAAACTGTTTATAAAATCAAAGAAGTTGAAYTATGAGAAGACAGTAGAGTTGGCTGAGCACTTGGGATGGTCAACCAGAGAAGTTCAAAGGTGGTTTAGAATACGTCGAATGAAAGATCAACCTTCAATTCTTACCAAAGCCACAGAGAATAGGTAAAGTTATTGATTTTTATTACATCTCAAAAATGTTGTTATAAAGTATTTTTTAAATGCCAGGTGAGACACCCTTAAATAATTTCTTATGAAGTGAATTTTACTATAGTTTTCATTGAAAAATGAGTCTATTTTATAGGTCAGATATTAATATTATTTATTGTTTTAAATGTATTACATCATCRTTTAAGAGTTCTTTTTCCTCTTCTGTATGTAGTTGGAGGCTTTCTTTTTATTTCTGTGCAACAGTGTATGGGAGTTTTACTCTTGCAAAGGTGAGACTTTGGACAGGCCAATATTTCATTTATTTCCTTGCAATAAGCAATGAGTGTAGATACTAGTAATATTGTTATCTGGTTGGCTTCTCTGCAAAATAATCTTGGCGAATAGATTTTCTAGCCATAGGGAAGACAAAGTCTAAGTTATCTTGTGGCATACATAATTCAGTATGATATGGCTTTGGACTGTTATGATGACTTGACTATYTCAAACTAGACGATCAGGGATCACTTACATGGGCTTCCTGTAGCTGCGACAATGGGTCAACTGCTGCCATTGAGCTATAAGTATTTCATTTTCACRTCACAATCTTTGTTTGAAATAAGTCAAGACAGAATTAAGTTAATTAATATAAGTTATTACTACATCATATTTTTTTACCKAACTGAACTCTAAGTAACTTCTTTAAGTATGAATTTGACCTGAAAGGTGATATWACCATAGTTTGTAGTAGCTTCAGAGATGATAAACAATAGAAACTGTACAGTCTTTRGAGTTTTCTCAGTATTTAACTTTGAGTAATATTTTGATCGTTTGAATCATTTGAGAACTAGTAAGAACTTTGAGTTCGTGGACYGGCAYGTTCCGAAWATTACGCTGAACATCTTTTAGTGTGGGCCCACCACTAATAGTGTGTGAGAAGATAAAATCCGTAAAATTTTTAAATGAGATCAGCGTTCTAGGTTTGATTTTCTTCATTTTCTTGATCATATTGCTTTTCTTGGTCACAAACCAGGTCACAGTAGCTATAAAGTGAAGCTAGATATCGGAAACAGGCCACRAGGTCGACTGAAGTACGAAACAATACATGTCAAAAATGAAAACAAAGTGCAGATTGGTTTAGTTTGACATCCCCATGGAAACTGAGATTGCAGACCATCTGCATCGCAGCCACTACCAATTTGAAGCATAATATTCACGACGAGGATGACGACGAAGACGAAGATTAAAGTCCACTTGAATTTTTAGACGTGAGCTTCCACAGAAAGCACACGTAATTACGTTGTTTTAGTGTTGAATGTTTGCAGTTGAAATATGAAGATTGCAGGATTGTAACAATGATAAAATATGATACAAAAATAATGCAATTTCATGGCATGTAGACCTATCCTGCCTTTTAAAAATACATTATAAACTTATTCAAGGTGATTATTCCATAATCAATCTTTTCAGTTGAGCATTAGGCATTCAATCCAACAGCAATCTCATTTTGAATGTGGCTGTGATTTGATTCACAAGAATTAACATGAATATACCTTCCTTTTAGTACGGCTGTCTGTTTGACCTTGACAAATGCTTTGTGGATTTCAACAACCATGTAAGTCGATGATAGTATATTAGTGGGAWATAATATTTTTCTATTATATACTAACCTTGATTCTTGCACACGTAATTCAATACTATATGTAACACAACTTTAATTAAAATCTTAAATCAATATTTATATAGTAGATTATAATTACAGTCATTTGTAAACAGTTCTGACTGCTAATAATGAGGTATACTATTGTATTGCATCATTGATAATTTAATATGATTTTCAATACTTTCTTGCTTAATATAATTGGAAATCACTTATAATAAACTCTTTGAAATTATAGCATGACTATTTAGGGAATATTCTCAAACATACAGTGTATTCTGCTGCAGTTTGATAGCAGTTTGATAAGGGAATGCTTAACTTTGAAATATCGTAGTCCCATATATTGATCAGATTTTGTTAGTGTTTAGAATTTCTTCAAATCACTGTAATGTTAAAATAATGCCTAGTAAATCACTGTAATGTTAAAATAATGCCTAGTAAATCACTGTAATGTTAAAATAATGCCTAGTAAATCACTAATGTTAAAATAATGCCTAGTAAATCACTGTAATGTTAAAATAATGCCTGGTAAATCAAATGGAGGTAGATCAAATTTTTTTCAGGTCTGTCACTTGGATCTGCATCAATCGATGTTGGTTTTAATTTTCATAACAATAATTTGGTATGATTTTAGGTTATGCATGTGGATCTCTATATGTATTACATTGTGGAAATTGGGATGTATATTTCACTATCTATCACACAATTTACTGACGTAAAGAGAAAGGTAATCCAATTCTCTTATTATTCATTTTAATTGTTTTCTTCACGGTTCCCTGCGCCATCTTGAAAGGTAGCCATGCCTTTGCATCGAAGCGAGATGACCRCTTTGATATAAAGGCACAGACAGCTACCTTTCAAGATGGTGCAGRGAACAGTTAAGGAGACTATTGTCATGTTGAGTTCATTTCAGTCATCAGTACCTTACATGTAAATTTTATAACGGAATTCTAACAAGTTCMTTTTTCTAGGATTTTTTACAAAATCTTGTTCATCACCTGTTGACATTGGCTCTCTTAACATATTCATATAGTAGTGGATATTTTCATATTGGTGCAATAATTGTCTATGTTCATGACATCTCTGATGTGTTTCTTGAGGCAAGTATCATGGAATTAATRTTGTTGATAATATTTGGGTCCTTATTTAAAGGAACATGGTCCACCAGCATTCAGTTCGGTTGTGTTTTAGATTTTTCATTGTGGAAAATGAGGTGACTTTGAATATCCATTCACAATCATTTTCCATCCATCGGTTTAAAAGTCAAATCTTACAGTATCTCCATTCATTTAGTATAAAGAAGTAATAAAGAGTATTTTTTTTGCTTGATATTAAGATGTATTTTAATTTTCAAAAATAAGCGAAAGCTCGAAAGGGATGCTGGTGGACCATGTCCCTTTAAGTTTAGTAAAAGAATTAGAATAAAAATTCTTATGTGGATAATTATATTCAGTGTAGCTCCTCTAAATAGGGGTGTCATTTTTGTTGTAAACTAAAATACCAACTTGTCATTTTCAATCAGTTTATTATGCGTTGTTTGATAATTCACTGATCTATTTGTGGCTGAGGTGTGCAAGTAGTAAATGAAAAACAGGACTGTGTTTAGAAATCCACCATGTTAATCAACAGTTCTCAGTACACARCTTTTTTTTGAAATCCATTGTATACATAAATATCAATAATAGTGGACCATGGCTAAATGTCCCTTTCTTATCCAGGCTGCTAAAATACTACATTATGCCAAACTGCAAAAAATCTGTGATATGTGTTTCGTGGTATTTGCTATTGTATTTTACATTTCAAGRCTCTACATTTTACCATTTTGGTAAGTCTAATACTAACTAGTGATCTTGTACAATCCATTTTACCCAAAACTGTGCAATTATAAATGTAAACTACATGTACTACATTGTTATTACTTTTACCCAAAACTGACCTTAAAAACCCCTTCTTAAAATTTCTTTAGAAATACTAATCACGTGGAACAATTTGAAACTTGGCAATCAAGTAGTGAGGAGGAACTATATCTCTCAAGAATTTGAACATTTCTTGTCCTCTCAGCCTGTACAATTTTACTTGCATGTACTASGTTTAAAAAGTCATTTGCATTTTGCTTTTTTAATGAATATTTTGTTTCATTCAGGGTTTTAAATGCCTGTATATTTCGACATGAAGTTTTCATTGGTAGTTTTCTTGTCTACAAAATTATGATTGTCTTTCTTATTTGTCTACAGGTAAGTTGTAACAATATTATTTGACTCTTAAAATCATAATCCCTGAAGACTTSTTAATCTTTGAAATAGTTAATATCCCATCAGTGTTATGATTTCATACTTTCATTCTATTTGATGTCCCCATTGCCAAAAAAATTATCAAGCCATTTGTAATGATGAAACGATAGTGAAGTATATTTTGCAGCTTGTAGCTGTTGAGAAGACAATGAATTGATTTGTTATAAATGGAAACCATTTTATTTCATTTCACAAAGTGATTTGTSATTTTCATAGATATTGCATATCTACTGGGCCTACTGTATAGCAGTCATTGTTTACAAGGCCTTGGCAGGAAAGGTAAGCTACATTTAAAATATAATATATTATAGGCAGTTTTATCAAATTGCATGTCAATGATAAGCAAAAGGGTGCTTTCTTCTTGTAGTCAGAGTTAATTTAGGATGTTTTTTTAAATTATACCTCTAAAGTGGCCACCCTTTTTAGTAGCAATAATAAAAGGTCCCAATTCTCTTCCCCTGCTCTTCCATGGTCAACTCCCCCAACCCTCTTCCATGGTCAACTCCCCCAACCCTCTTCCATGGTCAACTCCCCCAACCCTCTTCCATGGTCAACTCCCCCA